TTGGATATGAGATTGGTTATAGCCAACTCGGCCCTACGGGCCTCGTTGGCTATTTACCATCTCATATCCAACGCGCGCTCATGGAATAATTGTTAATTAAACGACACACACAATCCAGAGAACTAATCAAAACTCGCAGAAATAGCTGTTATTGCAGCTGAGTTTGCGGACAAATACTCTTTTGTTTTAAAAGGCATGCAAACGCATACAAGGCGAAAGGATCAATACAATGCAGAATTGACCCTAGCTTTCGCCTCGTTTGTGTGTCAAGCCGCTGACAACTGCAATAACAGCATGTTTTCGACAATATTCGCAAGATAACGTGTGCTAGTCTCGATTCCGTGCTTTATGAGTCTTATCTGCCTCCGACGCCGATAATATATTTTTCACTGGATAATAAGCGAGGGAAACGTTCTGGTTCTTCCAACTTCGATTTCGTAAAGCTTATGATTCCGCCGAAAACCGGCGAATAATGGCCGAAATTGTATCTCAGTTCATATCAATGCCTTTGTTAGGCTCTTTCCCTAACCTCTTCTACAATCTCCCCATATATCATTCAGAAAGAAAATATATCAGAGGCTTTGAAATCTCCTTCTCAGATTGTCATTAATTCAAATTAGCTTATACATGTTTTTTCGAATCTACTTTTCCTTTTTTCCTTTGTTTTAGTTTCAATGGAGGCTAACGCCCGAGTGTCTCACTGTACTTCGAAATACCTAAACTCTCTTCAGTAGAATACACTCCGCTGCAAGTCAAAATAATCTTGTCACCTCTCCTCTCACAGTTTGAAAACGTAGTCAAACACTTACTCTTGTGCAAGTGAATATATGAAAGACCATATATTTGAACTGCGGAGAAAGATATGATGACATGATTGATCATCGCAGTTATATACGCAGCTTAAGCAGTTGTGAAATTAAAGCCTGAAAAAAAAAAAAAAACTGCGATGATCAATCATGTCTTCATAGCTTTCTCCTGTGTTTTGATACATTACTTGGTTTTAATATAATGCATAAGGTACCGGGCAAATGACGAAAGTTGTAAATTTTACCTGAACAGGCATCTTCAGTAAGTGTGACGTTATCAATAGCAATGTCGCTTTCAGATGGTGATCCTACTATTCCTTCGAATATCAACTAAGAAAATAACAACAGAGTTATTTTTTTTCCTGGAATGTTATGCTTAAAAAAAATCCATCATAGCTTGTCAACTACGTAGCTCAAGGTGGCTCAAAACAGTTTCCAGCACTTTTCAAGCTATCAGCCATTAATATCCGGTGGTTGGACTGCGTCCTCAAAATGTGCCATGACAATGACGTTTTCTCGGTTATTCAAAGGTACAAAGGAAGATCTATACTGTCATTACCTGACTGGGTAATTAAATTCCTGAGAGAGTTAAAGATGGAAAAAGGTTATGAGAACGTATAAATTAATACTTACAACATCACTCAAATTCACTGTTCTTTTCACTTGTCTCCAATAGCCTCCTTGATCACCTGACTTAGTAAATACTGTGTCATTTCCATTAATTACATTAAGGGTTCCATTTGTCGCTCCATACATGTAATAGTAGAACGCTAAGCACCAAGATGAATTGCGGTAATCCTTTGGTACTGCAAGCTCAAGCTTTGCATTATCACCATTTCGTTGATCTGCAGCTTTAATGTTCATATACTTTCCTGTAAAAGAAAAAAAAAGATTGATACCCTTGCTCATTTGCATTACGAGATAATGTACCGTGTATCTGAGGCAATTTCGGGCTATTTTGCAGTTTCAGCCCGAAAGTGCTTCGCATCCATGTTGGATTACCTTGTAATGTAAATAAGGAAAACAAACCCTGAAAAGAGTAATTTGACTGGGGACTGAAGTAAACATAATAGACATCTTACCTTCTCCGGTAACATCAGACGCTGGTCCGGTTGATGTGAAGCCAGACGAAAGTGTCCAATTGAATACACCTAAATTGGATAGACTCCAGCCGAAGCACAAGCCACTGTCAAAGCTACATGAAACTGGAACCGAAACAATCGCTCTTGATTACAGCGAGGCGATATACAAAGTATCTCGAAATAGCTTTAAGTATACATGTGAATGCATAAAAAACGCTTGAATTTTCTTACTTCAAATAGCGTACAACTTATCTGACAAAGACTCCAAATAATTCACAAGAATTGCCATTTTTCCAGTAACACTCGGCAAAGGGGCAAGCGGTCGATTGAAGAAAAAGGCGGGAAGCTTTTCTGGAGCGACTGCTAAATCAAGTTGTTTGTGTCTTTAAGGTGTGACTCTTATCAAAATCGGTGGAAAAATTCGCGAGGTTCAAGGGGTGACCAAGGGGGTTAAAGAACATGACGTTTAACGACAGAGAAGGCAGATGTGTCCCGTTTGGTAACTGAATTGACTACCTTTCTGAAATTTCTATTTTTAGCTACAGGATTGGTGTTATTATTATTATTATTATTATTATTATTATTATTATTATTACTATTTTTAACAGAACACATGTATATACGCACCTGGACAACTCCCTTCGGTGATTTTTACTTGATCAATAGCAATATCTCCTGTATATGAGCTCCCAACTATTCCTTCAATTGTAACCTGCAAACATATTTCTATTATATCGTGAATTTTCGGCGCAAGTTTCTTAGAGATTCCAATGATTTATTGTTGCCTTTGTTTGTTTCCGATATGATTACTGGAGTAGGCAGCACTGAGTCTTTGTTTTAAAACTAGAAAAGCAGGATCGTTTGACTGACGTTGAATTTATGAAAGGACAGCAGACTCTCAGCAGCCTCGCCTTGCAACGTCACATATCCCGATATCTCGTTAATACGGTCGCCTTTTTCCCGAAGAAAACACCTAGTCAGTCATTTTCTTGTTTCAAGAACCTATTTCAATACGATCTTGAATTTCTAAAGTTAAAGTGTTTTGAGTAGTTATAGAGTAGGGCTTCTGCGACAGGGCGCATGCGTAGGGATGTAGGGGGTGTTAGGATGCTTATACCCCTAGGGAGTGACGTCAGGTCTCTTCCCGGAAAATGACATCATCGGGTTGGAGAGGCGTTAGCGTAGGGGTGTAAGGGCATTTATGGCATCATTTTTTTACCGTAAGGTTCCCAAAACAGTTGCAGGACACTCAGAACTGATGGATTAAAAGCTTACTATGGGATATAAGACTATCTATGCTACCTCGAAGTTATATTGAAATAAACTACAAATAACTTCGCAGCCAGTGTAAAGAGAATTTCCGATAAGGATCTGAGTACAAGGTATGGTTCAGTGTACCGGATCATGACCGGACTGAAAGAACAAACGGTAGGACGTTGTAATGATCACATGACAGGTTCTAGTTCTGAGAGTTATAACTAATTGAAGATTAGTTGACTGCAATAAACGTCCTTGAAGAACATTAGTTCGTTCATTTTCTCCGTCTTGTACCTGCATAACTTTAGGCGTTAATGACCCCAGGGAGATTATTTTGCAGTAACAAAGAAGCAGTGGAAAACTCTATTGTATTTGAACAAATAGAGTTGTTTTGTTCTGTCTACTAAGTTAATAGACCAAATAGAAATCGATTTATTCACAATCATAGATTTTTATAATGTCTGAGGCGTATAAGACGAAACCACGATCCATATAGACTTTGGCCCAAGGCGCTAAAGCCGATAGTAATCATGTCCAAAGCGGCGTCGACAAAACCAGGATCGGACCGGATCGGACCGGATCGGATCACGGATCGGATCA